GGGTGAAGGTGGCAGTGGGATAGAGATCCTGGAGATCCAGGCAAAGAACTGACTTGGAAAAGGAAGCCACCAATAGAACAGTGAGAACAAACACTGTAAATGCTGCGAGCCACAGCTACTCTGGATAAGGTGTCACAGGAGTGCACTGGAATGCATTGAGGCTGACAAGCTGGGGACCAGGAAGACTGCTGGTAAATAATCTTTCTTATTTTCTGTAAGGAACTTGGAAACCTTATCCAGAGAGGTGTGAAAACAGCAGAGAAAGCACTGGAACAAAGAAACCAAGCCAAAGCAAACATGTTCAGGATTAGTCACTGAGAAATGTAAGAAACCAAAACCAAGTTTTGTCCCAGAGAAAAGGGAGACTCAAACATCCCCTTGGAGGTCTGGAAGCTTCTTGTGTGTCAAGTGGATTCAAGGGTATTTGGTCAAGGATCATGTGTTTATGAAGCAGGAGTGGCCACAAACAAACCTCTCAAACACAGAACAGGGAAGGAAGTGGTGATTTATTCAGCTGGGAGCTGCAGCAGGTGAAAATACCTTAACAGCCGAGCTGCTCAACAAAGAAAATCCTTGCCCTTTTAAAGCCTTACAATTCTAGAAATTACATGTGAAGGGGTCTCGATCCATGAAGTAGGCATGGGGTATGTGACTAGGTAGGGGTTTGATCGTGTTTAAACAAAAACAATGCCTTCCAGAAAGATTCCTCCATACCATGCCTGTGATCTACAGGAGTGGGATTGAGGGTGGTGCCCGGTCTGCCAGCCTTTATTTCTCCTATTGAAATGCAATGTAGAAGGCTATGGGGAAGGGCTCTTAGAAGCTTAAGAGGATTAAGGGTCTCCTTCCTCATTTACAGCTTAGAGCAACTGTGCACAGAACCAGAAACCGCCTGCCTCCCACACTTTCAATGGGTTGTCCCAGAGACCGCTCCCTTATGTGAAGCTGAGGCTTGTCTTGTGTTGAATGTAACACAGTCACAAGAAGGCTCTGGTGACAAGGAGCTTGTTTTTTCCTCCTGGAAGTGGTATTCCTTTTTTTTTTTTTTTTAGCCACAAATCACAGAAGTGCTATTCAAAGTGTTGAACAGCCAGTATGGCTCAACCACTCACCCTTCAGTACAGCCACTAAGGCAGGAACGGTCATGAGAAACAGACCTCTCAGGCCCTGAACTAGAGAGGAGGGGGTGATTTATTCGGCCGGTAACAAGGCAGCATAGCTGCCTAATAGCCGAGCTCCTATAACAAAGAGAAGCCCTGACTTTATATAGGCTTACAACTCTAGAAATTACACATGAAAGGGTCTTGGGTTTACAGCTTTAGAAATTACATGTGGAAGCGTCTTGGTTCATGGAGTAGGCATGGGGTATGTGGCTTAGGTGGGAGTTTGATCTTGTTTAGGTAAAAACAATGCCTTCTGGAAGGATTCCTCCATACAATGCCTTCCATCTATAGGAGAGATTGTGGTAACCAGTAGGAGTCTTATTTTTACCCTGGCTGGTGGCACCAACCAGTCCCCCTTCTGGCCGACTTCTGGCTTCTCCTTTTCAGATGCAATGCAGAAGGCTGAAGAGGATTAAGGGTCTCCTCCCTCACTGCCAGCAGTCAGTCTGGGTGACCCTGCTGTGCCAGGTTCTACCCCTTCTGTTTCTGCATGATGTTGAGGTCTGGAGGGGCCAGGGGATCCAACATGCAGCCATGTACCCACCAGTGTATCTGAACTGATACATACCAGCATCACACGCCCTCATTCTCCTCACGGAGCACACACAAAGTAAATGCAGCCGCTGAATCAGAGAGAAGAACACCAGCTAGCAGCCTTCTGTCCTCACCATGAGCAGTGCCTTCCAGAACCACCCCAGGGTGGAGGGCTCAGAGGTGGGAAGGGAGCCTGAACCGCTCATGTCTACACATGCATTACCTCAGGGATTTCTCAGCAACACTACAAAACAGGCCATCTCACTCCAACTTTACCAGCGGGGCATTGAAGCTTTAGATGGAGATATCTATTCAAGGTTTTCAGATGGTGAGAAAGAACAAGAATCTGAACCCAGGCCTGAGATGAAGTAGGGACCAACTTTTAGGAGCCTCTGCCACTGCCCCCAACTCAACCACCAAGCATGGAAACAAAGGAAAATCTTGAGTTCCTCCCAGGGAAATTCCAGATACTCAGCTCCCCTGAGAAGTAAATAAGTAACTTGTTAGGCAGGAAGGTATTAGTCCAAAACAATAGCCGAGGAAATCAGAGTCCAGAGATGTTTGCTTTCCCTTTAGAAACATCTTAACATCTTAACACGCATCCTTGAGTTCGTCTCTCAGAAACCTGGACTCGCACCAAATGGATTTGCTGGCCTGCAGGCCTCAGATAGAGGAAGCTGAGGGCTGCAGTCTGACCACCTTCCTGTCTTCTAAATTTCTTCTGGTGGGACCTGGAAGCCACACCTATGAGCTAAATCTAACACTCTTTTCTGCTAACCCCAAATTTTTAGACAAGGCATCACCTCCTGAATCAACTACAAATCAAAGAACCTCTGAATCCACCTGTGACCTGTAAGCCCCTGCTTCAAGCTATCTTGCCTTTTTGGGACAAACCCATGTGTACCCTCCATGTGTAGCAGGAGCAGCTGCAAGAAACAGATCTCTCAAACACCGAACTGCGAAGGAAGAAGTTTATTATTATTATTATCATTATCATTATGGCCTGGAGCTGGGTGATGATTTGTCTAGCTAACCCAGCTTGTCTAGCTAAACCCAGAGCCTCTAAAAAAGAGAGGCTCTGACTTTATATAGGCTTACACTCTAGATATTACGTGTGAAAGAATCTTAGGTTTACAGCCTTAGAAATTATGAGTGAAAGGGTTTTCGGGTTTACAGTTTTAGGAATCACATGTGAAAAGGTTCTGGTCTCCAGAGGGAGGAGTGGGGTGGGAGTTTGATCTTTTTTATGTAAAAACAGTGTCTTCTGGAAAGTTTCCCCAATACCAAGTGTGCTAGTTACAGGAAGGTGATTCAGGAGGTGCCAGTCAGCCAGCCTCTTCTTTTATTGAAATGCAGTGTCGAAGTCAAGCGGGAGGTGATCCCAGATGCCTGGGTCTCCTTCCTCACTGCCCCCCCCTTGAGACCCTCACCACTCTATAATATTAGTGAGAGGTCTCACTTTCATTCTCATTTTCCAGATCCTCTGAAGAAACTGATTGATAATGATTCATATAATATACTTGTGATGTCATTTTTTTGGCTAACTACAGTAATGATAAATCCCCTGATCATCTGAAGGAACAGGGGGGGTAAACAAGGAAGTAACAAACAAATGCCTATCATTATTATAACACTTATGATGAGAGTCTTGAATCCTCCTAAGGATGAGAACCAACCTCCAAATAAGGACTCAGGGTTAAATCCATGCCATACCTGCATAGGCACATGTGCCAGTTTGGTCATGTGTCGAACAATATCCTCCACTGCTTGACCCTGGTCATCTATGTGTAGGCAGCAGTTGGTTAGATTGAATTTTCCACAGGTTTCTCCTTCAGCTGCCAGCAAATAACCTAGGGCCAGCTGTTTCTGATAAATCACATTCCTCATTTGAGTTTCTTGTTGGGCCAAAAGAGACAGAGCTTTCCCGTTTCATTAGTGAGTATTTCCAAAACGGCCTGCAACTGGATGATCCGGTTAAGCATGTAAATAGGAGTCCAGTATCCCCATGAGCCATCCTCCACCCATGTGGCCAGCCCATGATACTCAATAATTCTCTCCAGTGGCCACTCATCATCTGTCCATTCTATCTTTTTTTTTTTTTTTTGAGACGGAGTTTCACTCTTGTTACCCAGGCTGGAGTGCAATGGCGCGATCTCGGCTCACCGCAGCCTCCGCCTCCTGGGTTCAGGCAATTCTCCTGCCTCAGCCTCCTGAGTAGCTGGGATTACAGGCACGTGCCACCATGCCCAGCTAATTTTTTGTATTTTTAGTAGAGACGGGGTTTCACCATGTTGACCAGGATGGTCTCGATCTCTTGACCTCGTGATCCACCCGCCTCGGCCTCCCAAAGTGCTGGGATTACAGGCTTGAGCCACCGCGCCCGGCCCTTATCATCCACTTTTTAAAGCCTGCTTCTGTTAATGGAACATAGTCTTTCTCCATCAGGCCTTGTTCCGTTGCTGATGAGGAACTGTGATCCCCTGTAGAGGGAGAGGCGTTCTGATTTTGGGTATTCTCAGCTTTTTAGGCTGGTTTCTTCCCTTCGTTATAGATTTATCCATCTGTGGTCTTTATAATTACCATCTTATAGTTGGGTTTCTGAATGGACGTCCAACTTGTTGATTCCCAGCGCTAAAATCTGAGCAACCCACTGCGCCGGCCAAAACAGCAGCGTTAAGATTGATGGTGCTTTTCTGACTCTACACCAAGAACCGCTGCACCAAGGCAGCAGCAAAACCGCCTCACCGGCCACAAGAGTAGCGCTGGCAACCTGTGGGGGCTCCTGGTGCGTGAGCAACAAAAATTGATCTGAAAATGTGGCGTCCTCTCGTTCTCTGAGCTTTCAGTGGGAGCTACAATCCTGAGCTGCTAGTGATCAGCCATCTTGGATCTCTCTCCCATGAGTCTAATTTCAAAAGTCATATGTGTAGGGGTCTCTGATGGGTCGTAGCATACATTGGACTGTCCATCCCCTGGATTACACACCTTATGCTGAGTACCATTATATAAACAGTTTCCCTTTTGCATCCCTGTGCACTCATAATAACTGTAGAACAAAAGAACGGCAGTAACATTATGTCCTACCTTAGTAGCCTGGTGTACACACTGAGAGCATTCTTCAAAATCAGTTAATGTCCTTACTGTACAAGTCCAAATATTAAGAAGAACAAGTCCCACAATGAATTTCCTCATGCTTCTGCCATGCATGGACCAGCCAGCTTCCAGGATTTGGCTGGAGCAGGGCTTGTTGTCCTTCTTAACGTGATTCTGCAGTCATTGTCTGGGTTTGGTATAGCTTCCCAGGTTTCAGCTGCTACCGGTTTCACATGGCTGTGGTGGATCCAGGCTGGGATTCCCTCTACCTTTACAGCTGTGGGGGTGGTGAGGATCATGGTCTGGGGTCCGTTCCACCATGGCTTCAGAGGGGCTGCACTCCAATCCTTTATCCACACATGATCACCTGGTGAGAAAGGGTGAACTGGGGGGAATAAGCTTACAGGACATCTGTCATTTACCCAGGTTGAAATATCCCGAGTGATTTTCCCTAGAGCTTGTAACTGGCATCCTAACTCAAATCTCTCCCCACTCCCGAGGAGTTCCAGGGAGTGCCCGGAGTATGGGAGGGGACCTACGATATGAAAGGGGGAATATCCTGATCTCCTAGAGGGAGTGTTAACTTTGAATAACACCAAAGGAAAAGACTGTACCCACTTTAATCTTGTTTCCTGACAAGCTTTCCCTAAGCTATTTTTGATGGTCCAGTTCATTCTTTCTACTTTTCCAGAACTCTGAGGTCAGTAGGCAGCGAGCAGTTTCCAAGTGATACCGAGGCCATTGCTGTTTTCCGGACTAAATCTGCCACAAATGCTGGTCTGTTGTCTGATCCGATGTGCAGTAGCAGTCCAAACCTAGGGATAAGATCTCGAAGCAGCACACGGGTTACTTCACGGGCCTTTTCAGTCCTAGTCGGAAAGGCCTCTACCCACCCAGAGTATGTGCACCCAGGAGCAACAAATACTTATGTCCCCCACACTTGGACATTTTAGTAAAGTCTACCTGGAGATCTTCAAACAGAGCTGCTCCATAAGCTGGAATTCCAGGGGGAATAGTTAGACCCTGCCTCTCGTTGTGCTGCCAACATGTAATGCATCACGGCACCACAGTTTTGGTCAAGGCTGATAAGTGTGAAATGTAAAAGTACTGGCCTAACATCTTCTCAAGTGAAACTTGACCTAAGTGAGTGGTTTCATGTACAGCTTGTACAACCGCTGCCCCAATAGCTATGGCACTGCTATTCTTCCATCAGGCAACCGGATCCACGCCTCTTTAATCAGTTGCCCCCACTCTGTCTGGAGAGCGTCTTTTTCCTCCTTAGAGTAAGTAGGCACCAACTCGGGGATCTGGGGAATCAGTGGGGCTGTAACTGCTGCTCAGTAGGGAGCAGATGCTGCCTTACTAGCTGCTAAATCAGCTCAGGAATTTCCCAGGGCCACGGAGGTGTGGGCCTGCTGATGTCCTTGGCAATGCATGACCACCACCTTCCACAGCATCCAGACTGCTTCTAGCAACTGCAAAATTTCATGTTGATACTTTCTTTTCCCCTTGAATTTAACAGGCCTTTTTCTTTGTATAGTGCTCCATGTACTTGGAGAGTCAGAAAGGCATATTGAGAATCAGTGTAAATGTTTACCACCTTATCTTTACTCAGCTCTAGGGCTTGAGTCAAAGCAATGAATTCAGCCTTCTGAGCCAAGGTACCCTGAGGCAGTGACTTGGCCTCAATTACAGTGTCCAGAGTTACCACGGCGTAGCCTGCACTCTTTTCCCCTCGTGGATTAACAAAACTGCTCCCATCCACATACAACTCCCAGTCTACTACTGTCCATGGCTGATCCCGAAGATCAGGCCTGCTGGAATAGACTGTGTCCAGGACTTCAACACAGTTGTGTTCAACTGGGCCCTCTGACATTGGGAGCAAAGTTGGTGGAGTTTAAAGTGTTGCAGACCTCTGTGATGATGGGGGTTTTCACATAGCAGGCTCTGGTATTTGGTCAGCCTAGCATTTGTTAACCAATGATGCCTTTTGGTATTCATTAGAGTCACTACTGCACGGGGTGCCTTGATATTTAAGTTCTGCCCCAGAGTTAGCTTATCTGCTTCTTGTGCTAGCAGAGCAGTTGCTGCCAGGGCCCTTAAGCATGGGGGCCATCCTTTGGAAACTCAATCCAGCTGCTTGGAGAGGGTAAGCTACAGGCCTGGGCCAAGGTCCTACTGTTTGGGTTAGGACCGCAACTGCCACTTTTTCTCTTTCTGTCACACATAATGTGAAGGGCTTTGTTAAATTAGGCAGCCCCAAAGCTGGAGCTGATGTAAGTTGCATTTTCAGTTCTTGATAGGCCTGACACTGCTGGGATCCCCATTCAAAGGAATCCTTGTCTTCCCCCTTTGTCACATCATATAGGGGTTTGGCCAGTACTGTGAAGCTCGGAATCCACAATCTACAGAAACCCACAGCTGCCAGGAACTCCCTCATCTGCCTTCTAGTCTCGGGTTCTGGCAGGTTGCAAATGATTTTCTCCCTCTCTGTTCCTAGGCGGTGTACCCCCTTCTGGTTGGTAAACCCCAGATATAGCACCTGCTGTGGACAAACTTGGGCTTTCTTTTTAGACACTTTATACCCACAGTCCTCCAGGTGCCGAAGTAAGACCTCTGTTCCTTTTGCACACCCAACTGCCGTGGGGTGTCCCAATAAAAGGTCATCAGCATATTGGAGCAGGACACAGCCTAAGTCTTTAGCTGGAAACTTTTGGAGGTCACAGGCTAATGCCTCCCCAAAGATGGCGGGAGAGTTCTTGAACCCCAGGGGGAGCCGGGTCCAGGTGTACTGGGTGGTCACACCTGTTTCTGGATTTTCCCATTGAAAAGCAAATAGTTTCTGACTTTCAAAAGCTAGCCTGTTGCTAAAGAAAGCATCCTTTAAGTTCAAGCATGTGAACCAACTATCCTCTGCTGGCAATAATCCCATCAGTGTGTATGGGTTAGGCACAGTTGGGTGCAAAGTCACTGTGGCTTGATTACCCAGGCACAAGTCCTGCACTGGCCTGTAGTCTTTGGCCCCTGGTTTGAGAGCAGGCAAGAGGAGGGTGTTCCATGGAGACTGGCAAGGAACTATAATTTCATAGTCCTTTAGGTGCTTTAGGTGGACCTGAATGCCTTCTAGGGCCTCTTGGGGAACTGGATATTGCTTTTGTCTAACTGGCTGAGCCCCAGGCTTGACTTCAATAAGCACAGGGGCCTGGTTAATTGCCAATCTTCTCTGCCCAGACCTTAGGCCATCGTTTTGCTAATGCAGGCTCTATTTGCTGGTCTGGTTCAGTTAAGAAGTCTCCACTCTTCCTCACGAGGCACACTGAGGGCCGTTATGACCCAAGCTTTAGGTAAGGCCAGCTGTAAAATGCCATTCTTAGTGAAAGTTAGGGTCTCCCATAACTTACTGAACAGATCCCTTCCTAGCAGGGGCAAAGGGCAATCAGGCATGTACAAGAACTGATGAATTACCTCATGCCCCCACACCTACAAGTACGAGGCAAAAAGAAAGATTGTTTCTCTGACACCCCAGTAGCTCCAACAATATCAGTTGTCTTTTTCAACAGGGGGGCCACCGGGGTGGTTACCACTGAATATTCAGCACCTGTGTTGATGAGGAAGTCAATGGCCTTGCCCCCTGCTGTCATTCTGACCACGGGCTCCTTGGGGGCAATGGAGCCCGGTCCCCTTCAGTCCAGTGGTCCTTCCATTAGATTGAACAGAGCCCCTTCGCTTTTGTCTGAAGCCTCGTGCTCAGGGTCTCCCTGTTTTTCTGTTAGCTGGGGGCACCGGTCTTTCCAATGTCCTACTTCTCTATAATATGTGCATTGATCGCATTGCGGGCACAGGCAGGCAGACTGGGAGGCTTTCCAGGAACCCCCCTTTTCCCGCCCTCTTGGAGGCACTCTTTTAATAGTGGCAGCTATCAAGTTGGCATTTTGTCAACCCTGGTGCTCGCTTTCTCTACAACTCTCTCTATGGCTCGCTGCTTCTCAGTTTACAAACACCTGGTTAGCTATTTCCAATAACTATGAAGTATTCATGCCTGTAACACCTGCTTGTTTCTGCAATTTTCATCTAATGTCTTCTGCACACTGACTGACTAATGTCATATTTATCATTCATTGGTTTTGGGGGCTCTCAGGATCAAAAGGAGTGTACATGAGGTAAGCTTCATATAGTCTTTTATAAAATTGGGTGGTGCTTTCCTCTTTTCCTTGAATAACCTCAGAGACTTTATTAATGTTTGTAGCTTTCTGGGCCCCCTTTTTTAATCCTTCCAGCAAGGCTTCTCTGTACCGGATTAGCCTCTGCATGCCCTCTGGGATGTTTGGATCCCACTGGGGGTCACTTCCCGGTAACTGGACACTGACATACTCTTGGGGGTTCCGGTAATGTGCAGGAACATGCTCCTCCAGCCAGTTAGAAGCAGCTTGGAGTATTCTCTGCCTTTCATCCGTGTTAAAAAGATACATAAGCAGTAGGTAGCAGTCAGACCAAGTGGGGTTATGAATCTGAATAATAGTTTGTAGCAGGTCAATGAGAGCTGTGGCTTCTCGGTATAAGATGGGTTGTTGTTTTCCCAGTTCATAAGATCAGTTGAGGTGAATAGCAGGTACATGAAAACACACCTTTCTACCATGTGGCTGTCCTCATCTACTCCCGTGTACCTTTTTCTCTCTTAAAGGCATCTGCACCCCGGCTTTGGGTCGCAGACAGGCTGCCAGGGGGGAGTTCCTTCTGGGAAGTGGGCGGCAATGGGAGGAGTTTTCCCACACTCTCTTTTAGACCACTCTGGGTGGTTTAGGGGTGTGCAACTCTGGTAGGGGTGCCGAGGCTTCCAGCCCAGGGGCAGGGAGTCCTTGAGGAGGAGGGGACATTATTGGCAAAAACTCTTCTGCTGCCGGATCTGCCAGAACCTTGGGAGTTGCTGTTCCTGCCACTGAATCTACCCAGACCTTGGGAGTCCACGTTTCTCAGTGGTGGCAAGGTGGGTGGTGGTTTCTAGCAGTCTGTCCCTTGGCCACTAAAACAGTTGCTGCCTGTCCTCTTAGCCACTTCAGAGGGTTCAAAACTAACTGCAACCATGGGTCTATGTATGGATATTGATCAAGGTGTTCTAGCTTGCTGCATATAACCTCATGCCTTACTTTGGAGACAAGAGACCTGTCGATGGTCCCCTCTGGGTGCCAACCTACCCTAAATGCTGGCCAATCTACCTTACATAAAGTCCTTAATTTCTCCGGTGTCATAGTTACTCTATAATTCCCACTAAATCCCTTCTTGAAATTTTTCAGCATCGTCTCTAAAGAGGTGGGCTTGCTATGAGAGTGACCCATGCCTGCGCTCCAAAGAAACACTTTCCACAGTTAAGAGTGTTACTCCAGCCACAGCAGTTCCCGCCCAGCGAGACGCAGTACACACTCTCTGATTTACATGCACGTCAATCCTCTCACAACACCCAGGTGCCAAAGTCTTCTCCACTCAGCCTTATGTGGCCAATCCTAATTCCAACTAGCCCTAAAAATTGCTCGTCGCATGAGGCCCCTTCTAATGGGCCTGATACTCCC